TTGCATTTGCGTTTCGAGTTTTTATGATAGAAAACGGCAGCATTTATATCTTTTCTCCCCGCATTGCTTTACGACGTGAACGTCAACTGCAGTGTTAAATCAGGGCGGATACTCCTGGCTTTTTTATTACAGTTCCTGTCAGACTCGGATTGCAGAACGTTAAGGTTATAGTTCCTAAAGTTTGTAACGCCATCATCATTTAAGCTCTTCTTGTTTTCCGTCATTATTAAGCTTATGTTCTATTGTTTAAGCTTTCGTTTCCGCATAATAAATAATTTTTCCAAAAACGAATTAATGGATGAAACTCAGTGACAGCAGTATGTTCTGACAAAGCAAACAGTGAAAACACAGTAAAGTAGAGTTGTTTTTGCCATAACTATTGAATATAGACCAGAAAGCATTTCATACCAAATTTTCTTCCAAATATCTTTTTTGCCAGATTCACAACGTTTTTTTTTTTATTCTTGATGGCCCCAGGTGGCACCATAAAATTCAGAAATTTTTGAGGTCAGAACCATTCCTATGAATATCCACACCCCTCCCTAGACTTTTTAACACTCGATTATTTTTTTCCTGGTTGTTTATGCCATTTTAAAGGACTTTTCATGCCTGTTTGGCACAAAATTCTCTGCTGGAAAATTCTACTGGTTACGTCATGATAATTGACCAATAGGACAGTGAGTGATATTTCATGCCGCTCCCGACACAGCAAATGTCATTCATTTTTTTCCCACGTGAATTTATATTTATGATTCAAATCCATTCAGGCAAAACAAGTCAACCTCGAGACTTTGTCACTCGCTCTGTCGCTGCTCGACCTCATGCATTAAAGCTCGCTTTGCTCACTTGTATGAACTTATGAGAGGTCAACTTGTAGCAAGTCTAACCTCTTCCCTGGTTGATGAGATGAATTTTCTGTAAGTTGTCTGTAGTAAAGAAGACCAGATTTTCTGAGAGGAGGGAGCAGAAAAGCAAATATTTCTTAAGGTTATAAGATGTTTTGAGCACAGTTTCTGAGGGGATAAATGCGTAACAATGCTTTTTTCCAAGTGTTTTGGGCGGGGGGGGGGAAGAGACGAGGTCTGGGACAGAGAAACAATGTTCTTACAACTTGCAAAGCGGTCACCCAGCGTGATAGTCAGCGGATAATAACAGTATTTTTTCCACAGTAAAATAATATTTTTAGACTTTTTAGAAGCAAGAAGCGAACCGACAGAGGAAATCAGAAATGCGTAAAAAATTGAAAAAAATCATATCATGCGTCTTTGTTTTTCTTGCATATCGTATTTGTCTTTAGGTACTGAAATGCAGGGGAAACTTAAACCCAACCGTACCAGATCTTAACCAACAACAACGCGCTCAATGGATTTATTTATAGGTTACATCGTTTTTGCCGGGCAAGGATAACTTGATGCTGATAAAAATTACTAGAGCAAGTGTCAACTTTATCAGAATCAAGTATATTCAAGAGAGCTTTATAAAAATGAGCTCACTGCTCTACATATCATAACTGAATAAAAATTAACACTTCATAACATTTCACTTCGTTTATTTTGATCAGTCAACACCTTGAATCCAAAGTTAAAATTCAAAACCATCCTAAAACAAATCACAACTACTACTGAAAGCTCTGTACCTTGAAGCGACTTGAACTTTCCTAAGGTTTGCAGTAAAACACTGCTCGATAGCTAGCTCTGACAACTCTTCGGCGGTTCTTAGCAGCTATACGGAGCTATATGTTGCATATTCCAAACTCTGCAAAGGGAAATTGTTTAACAGAAAAAGAAAACCACACACTATGTCTGAAAAGCGACATAAAATCAATAAATTTGCGAATTACCAAAATATAATAGTGAGAAACATTCCCGCCTTCGGCTGCCATGTTTTTGTTTTTTCTCAAGACGGTTGATCTATGGTTTTTGACGTAATGCGCATGATCAGTATACAAATCCGCTGGCAAGACCGTTGCTGATCGCTTTGCAAGTTGTGAGAACATCGTTTGGATTTCATTTAAGAGAATGTATGGGAAATAGCTTTCCCCCCCCCTGGTTTTGGGCAAACATTCACAATTTTTTTAAAGTTTAGGGAAATGTCAAAGTATCTCATCAATTATTTAGGGGAGTGGATATGAAACTGAATGGCCCCCAGTAGTGGAATTGTTGCACTTTACGGGAGGCACCAAAACAGACTATGTCATTTTTGGACCAGTCTGGCTGCGAACTCAGCTGTGAGCCATTTATATGAGCAGTTTGCGAATTTGTAAGCCGTGCTAGTATAAAATAATGGTTCCTTTGACGTCTTGTGGAATTCGCGGCCACAGTAAATCACAGCTTAGTTTCTCTGGTATAAATGGGCCTATTGTTGTGGCCATGTTTTGCAAAGTTAAGCAACTTGAAGTGTCTAGATAACAGATGAAAAACTCTTAGAGTATTTGATGTAGCTTCTTAATCATTACGTGGGTATTTCTTGTAGAAATTCATCGTTAAATACTGCACACAATTTTATTGTCAATTGTGAACACAATAACAACAATCCTTGCTTGTGGTATTCGACAACTTGATCATCAAAGGGAAAATGCTTTGACCTTTTGTCAGACTCTCTTAGCTAATTCTTTGAGGAAATGTATGGAGATCAGTCTGGGGAATTCAAGTGCGGATACTGGGACGTAAAGGGTTAAAATTAAAATGGGTTGATTGTTAAATAAATTTCCCTCATCAGCACATAAGGCTTAAAAGTATAAACTCTTCTGTCAGGTTATCCACAGGTTTACAGTAAAGAAGAACAAGAGGATGAATCCACAATTCTGCCGCCCATTTGTTATGAGACCCAAGCTTGTCCCTGTTGTTGTTAGACCCACTGTT